TAGTAGATCTTTATTCATAACATTTGTCAACTCTTGTAGTTGATGCTGCATAATATATTGTTGAGTCATCTGCATACATTACAATTTTAGCTTTTTCTAACACTAATGGTAGGTCATTTGTAAAAATAGAAAATAAAAGTGGTCCCAAACAACTACCCTGAGGTACTCCACAAGTGACTGTTTTCATCTTTGAGAGACTTCCATTAAAAAAAAAACAGTTTGACTTCGATTTGTCAGGTAACTTTCTAACCACCTCAGCGTTTCAAAATTAAAACCATATTGTTCCAGCTTATGTAACAACAAAGAATGGTCAATGACATCAAAAGCAGAACTAAAATCAAGTAGTACTGCACCCACTAACTTCCTATTATCTAGTTCGCCCTTCCAGTCATCTGTCATTTGTGTTAAAGCGGTGCATGTCGAATGGCCAGGTCTGTAAGCATGTTGATACACAGTGTTAAGGTTGTTACCTTCAAAGTATTTTTGTATTTGATTGAAAATTATTCTCTCCATTATCTTTGCTAATGCTTGTAATAAACTTATTGGACCGCTATTTGTACCAGAAAATGGTCCAGCTGGATTTTTTGCAATTGGAATAATTTTTGCTATTTTCCATGCCTGTGGGCAAATACATTTATCAATACTCAAATTTATAATATGACAGATAGGCTCTGCAACAAAATTAGCAACATATCTAAGAAATGTACCAACTAAATTATCCACTCCTGGTGGTTTATCATTACATTTACCTAGTAGACATTCAACATCTGTAATTGTTACTTTTTCTATTTTAAAAGGTACACTTCTTATTTTTCATAATTAAATCATTTATTAGATATGTGGAGTTACTGTTTATAGTTTGATTCATTTTTCTCCTCAAATGATTTACTGTATCAAGAAAATAATCATTCAGATAATTAACAATTTGTACTGGTTTAGTCAAAAGATTCCTCAAGATATGTTATATGTAATATGCCATTTACTAAACTCCACAGTTTTTTCTTGTCATCCTTATATCTTTAATTTTATTTCCATAATGCAACTGTTTTTTCTTTGTATTTAATGATGTAACAATTCCTTAACCTTCTATACATTTTCCCATCTGACTCATAACTTGATAAGAGAGCTACATTCTTTAAATCATCTCTTTGTTTCATTAGATCCCTTAATTCGTCATCTAACCAGGGTGCTCTAAAGTTCCTTACTTTCTGCTTTCTAAGTGGTGCATGTTTATCAATCACCTGCATAAATAACAACTTTCTCAAAAACATTTTTCCAGCATATCTTTTGAACATCCTGTATAAATGACTCTTCACAAAAATATGTAATTGATCTCCTCACAATTACTTTTGGTCCTGCTTTTGGCACCTTTGTCTTTCTCACGATAATTATTAAATTATGATCAGTACACCCTACTGGAATTGATATTGCCTGTGAACATACATGGCTAAAATTAGTAAATATATGATCAATACAAGTTGCACTTGTAGTCATTATCTCTTCACATAATATGACTAAAAATATAGTAAAACATGCATGTATACATCTCTAGAATGTTAACATAAATGACAAGATACAACCTAATCATTAAAATCAACTTCAATTGCAGCAGTGGGCCATAATTACTGGTAAATGTTTATTTAATTGATGATCAGCGGATCAAAGCAATTCTAATTAGTTAATTCTCCAGTTGATTCAACCCATGTTAAATCTTAGTATTGTTGGTAGTTTATGCTAGGTCTTAGAGTCAAAGGAAAGCAAACTATTCCGTTTTCTTGCAAATTCATGATAAAATATAAATGTCCCTTTTGGGAGCACTTGCTAGTAATGCATCATATTCTGGAGTGTTTTTATTTTGTAAGTTGTTTTTCCTTTTCTAAGGTGTAGTAGTATGGAGAAAATGTAGTACGCGAGTAGGGAGTGCATTGACTGCAACATTTACAAGAGCTTGTATCGTCTGTGGTTGTTTGGATATTTGTAGTAGGTGATGTATGACTCGATGGGTTATCGCATGTGTTGTTCAGTATGTCTCTGGGGGTTGTACACATATAGGGCTTCATTGTTATAAATAATAAACATACAAACTACTGAGGCCAACAATGATGTCATGCAAAAGTAGTACCACTATCCTGAAAAATACTGAAAACGGCAGTTGAGGCAAAAGTATTGTTAAGCCGTTTGGAAAATATTCAAGCACCACACATAGTGGCCTTTTCTACAACTTTCAACTGGCCTGTTCGCAGTCTGAAGTGCTGTTGGAATAATGCAATGTTTTATGAGCAAGTCAGTTAATTACTAAAACAAATGTATCTTATTCAGTCATTGAAATAACAGTTTTGCAATGCGTAATTAAAAACCGTTCTGTCCTAGAGAATGGCCAAAGCAAGCCTTTTAATCAAGCCTAATCGCTTACAAACATCGTTTTTTGCTTTTATAATCACTACTCTCCTTTTATACTATTAAATCCACTCAGCTTGCGAGAGCAGATACAGATAAGCAGAACCTTTTTAACTCTTCTCACGTTGAATATTAATGTAACTAAAGCTTTAAATACATTGAAATAATGTAAGATTATAATGTAAGGCAGACATTGTGTTAATGGATTTGGGAACATAAGCAGTGTTGTGCTTCATTACTGATTCATGCTGTATTCACTGTGAAAAAGAAAACACAACCACATTGCATTATTAGCCAAGCTTATTTACATTCAGAACAAAGCCAATTCTCCATATTGGAAGTAGCCGTCTGTGGGGGGGGGGAAACAAAGAACCAGTTAATGTAATAATATGTAATGATTTGTGTTCAAGCTAAAAGGGCAATGGTAATGTAGGCTGCATTAGCCTAATTACGGTTCACATTTTAGATTAATAAAAGAGCTATTACTTTATAACCAGAAATGTACATTGTTACCTTACTCATTCACTGAAATGGTTATTTTATTACATTATCAGACATTAAAAGATCCCATGTCATGCTTTTCCGGTTATTACCCGTCCCCTTGTGTGTTATGTAGCTTTTTATGCATGTAAACGGTCTGCGGAGTCACAAACCCTCAAAGTACACCCTGTAGCGAGTAAAACTCTAACACAGAAAATACCTGTCTATGCTGCCCCAGAACACCTCGTTGGAGATTTTCTTTTTTCTTTTTTTTTCTTCCGGGAACCAAGTGACGTAACGACGATCCAAATGGACCAATCCGCGGAGCTCCTCACACACACACAAAGCCTTATTTGTCTCAGCTGCAGCTCTGCGGATTTCTCAGCCTGGACTCAGCCTGAGACAGTGGGACACGGAGAGGCCTGGCCCGGGCCCGAACCGAGCACACACACATACACCCACAGCCAGGCTGCGGGTTTTGAGGAGCTTCAACAAGCCATTTAGGACAGAGACTGAATAAAAAATGCTATACAGAGATGCTGTGTGAGAAACCAATGTGAGTTTGGAAAATTGCACAATGTAAATATATTCTAGAAGACCTCAACAATGGAATTATGATCAGTAGACATGGCCATGACATGGGACCTTTAAAATGGTCTTTGCTGCCCGAGGGTTACAGTCTATAGTCTTAGTCAAACTAAGCATCTGTGATCTGCGGGAAGTTCAATGCAACCTCATCAGATAAATCCTGGACTATATAGTATAACATATTACTTCTATAGAGAGATTCTCTTCTTTTTTTTTCAAAAAGTAGATCTGACCAATAAATCGCATTTCGATAGTAAGTGTGAAATGAAAATGTGCAATAAACTCATAGCAAAACAAGTCCGGTTACCGATATAAAACAGGCTGGATGTGGTCATATTTATCGCAAGTCAAATCGTCATCATGTCTGCTGCTGCAGCAGATTTTGACTTTAAAGTCCATTTCCATGACTGAGGTCAGTGGAGAAGTCAATACCTCAAGGCAAGGTTGCTGAGATTCACACTGAAATGCAAACGCTTTTGTGTGTTGTTCATATATCATGGTTGACATATATTTTTGATGTTGTTTATATCAAAAACAGTGTCTATTAACTGAAATAAATCCTTTCTGGCAATATTTTAAATTAGGCCTTGAGCATGGGTCGGCAATAGGCGGCCCGCACGGGCCATTGGTGGCCCTCCAGCAATAATATTTGGCCCAGAAAATTATTTTGAGAATAAAAATAAAAGATTATTTTGAGATTTTTTTTTTCTTTTTTAAAATATCGGACCGACAGTCGCACATATAGGCTATAATGTCCGAATAGAGAATCTACCTACACCTGAAGAATGCTTATTGTATTTATCCATTTATCCATGTTGAGAGTGAATGACACACAGCAAAGGCACAACCTGGCAGCGGGGTGCACTGACGCTGATAGTGGATCAATAAGTGTGGACAGCGTGTGGTGCTGAAATAGCCAAATTGTGGTTTGAAACAAATAACACCAGCTTACTAAATCATTCAAACGTAATGTTTACTTATATGTGAACAGTAACAAAGTTCAGTCAAAACATTGACAACAAAATCGGAGATTTTGCCGCTTGATCATGGAGGGCGAGGGGTGGTGGTGCATATGCTGCCACCCCAGCTGGCAGCTTTGTTTTGAAATAAAAGTTTTGGCTCATCGGACATTTATGAGAGAAAATCCCTAATGTCCGAGTGCAAGTGAATGCAGCACAAGACGCGAGCCTTGTAACCATAGACATATATGCTTGTAACCCCTCCCCCGGCCCTGGCGCGAGCATGGAAATGTGATTGTCATTTGAACGGGACGGCGCAAAACGAGAAGCATTCGGTCTACAATGACAGGTTTGGCTATACTCAACATTGATTCAAAACGTACCAAAGCTTTGGATCTTAATAAGCTTGTGTGAGCAGTGGCGGACTGGTCATCTGTAGAATCTGGATAATTCATCCCCCCCCCTTACTTACAAACTTACTTACCGACCCCTGGCCTAGAGCAGGGGTTCCCAAAGTGGGGGTCGCGAGATGATTACAAAATAAAAATGGAAAATTTGTTACGTCCTCACTAAGGTCTAGTGGACCTGGAGACAATAACATACAACCAATAAAAATGAGGGAGTCAGCGTAACAGTTGACAAAAGGTTTATTTTGTGTAAACCCAGAACCGAACAGACATATAATTGAAACACTCTGTTGGTGAGGAGGAGGATGAGGAGTCAAAGGATTGTGCCAAACAAAAGAAACAAGCATAACAAAACCAGGCCTATCTCTACATCTATCCTTTGAAACTAAAACTCAAACAAAAAAACCCTGACTATCTAAACTACAAAGAATTTGACAAAACAATATACAGGGGTGGCAACAATCCGCTAACCTAGTGTGTCTGGACATTAGTTAGCTACGTGGTGAGAAATGTACAGGGTACCCCAGACTTACCTAACTCTCTAAGAATTGCATCTTCGGGATTAGGGAAGAAGAGGTACAGAGAGTTCATCAAATGCTCCTTATCCATCCCCTCTGTCCAGTTTGGAGGAGCAAAATAACCAGCAAGCATCCAGCCCCCTTCATCATTATTAATGCCGGTCATGAATGGTACGGTAAGAAGTTCATGTGTACGGAACAGCTCGTCCACTGTTTTTCTCAGGAAGTGTCCATCAACATTTACAGAGATTCTCAAGGTTTGATCCTCTCCCAAAGCCTCAATAGTCTTTACGTCGACGATTCTCATGCAATCAGCGATCTTCTGTGTGCTTTCGAGGCTACAGCCAGAAATATTTTCCACCATCTGTGCTACTGGTAGAGGATCATTTGAAACAAGAAGATCCATTCCAGCAGTGCCACTCTCAGCAATGGCATGATGGAAGAGGCCATCAGACAACGGTGAGAGGAGCAGTAGAGATACGCTCACTCCGCCAGCTGACTCCCCAAATATTGTAACTACATCTGGGTTTCCTCCAAAGTTGTGAATGTGCTGCTGGATCCACCTCAGAGCTTCTACCTGGTCCAGCATGCCAAAGTTCCCAGACATGTGCTCATCTCCAGTGCTGAGAAATTCTCAGCACTGGAGATGAGCACATGTCTGGGAACTTTGGCATGCTGGACCAGGTAGAAGCTCTGAGGTGGATCCAGCAGCACATTCACAACTTTGGAGNAGTTGAATACAACAA